ATCAAAGTTGTCCGAAAGTTATCAAGAGGCATGAGGCTGGACCCAGGACCTAGAGACAAAAATCTCTAAAGTGGAACTAAATAACATTTTTCTCATTAAAAGTCATTAAGTCTATGTAATGGTTAACTTATTTTTGGAGTGTTTGAAGAGTCTGACTGAGTCTCTGCTGTGTTCATGAGGAATACCAGCCTTGCAATAAGGTTGAAAAGTTACTTAGTTGTGCTTTACGACATGCTATGCTTCCGTTGTAGGGAGTATTATACCTCTGCTGACATACGCTAAGATAACAAGGACTGAAACTGAGAAAGAAAGTGAGTAGCTCAGGGGTAAATCAGGTGCGCTTCAAGGATTCATTGGAAACGTAGACAGGAAAAAGCCTTGTTAATGCTTTTTCGCTGATTACAAGGACTGAGGAGCTGAGCAATGTGGAAACTGGCCCGGCACATAAATACAAATTTTCTATCAGTAGTAAATCCGTATTCCTGGCTGATTAGAAGTGTCTCCAGCAGCAGAGTCCAGTGATGTGCCCTTCCCTGAGCCATAAACAGAACCAGGCCAGTTCAAAGCCACGGTAATAAGCAGAACCACTAAGTGCAGGTTTAACAGAGCGCGCTGCAGGGACACTGGGAGCATTCATAACTTCTGTGGGAGACAGGATTCTACTGGTTCATATGGTTCATTGTGCCCAGTGTCTTTAGCTTTAGTGGTCACACCGTGCACTTAGATGTCTAATTTAGACACACAGGACTTTTATTGTAGATTTTGGTGACTGTATTTCACGCTCATTCAGATCACTGCTTCTCAGACAGTGCTGCAGCTGCCATTTTTGGTATTCAAGAGTAGAACTGGGTATCATTCAGAAGTTACCGATACGATACATAGCTCGATATATAGGCCATGATACGATACATATCTTGATACAGAGCGCTATCGATTCGATTCAATACACTATATATTAAATCAATTTGATACAGTTCAGTAAAAATAAAGGCTAAATTATGGCTGTGATACTAAAAGTCTTTGTTAAACCACTTCTTGTGCAACGTTCATATGATACATGCCCAATTTAATCATCAAAACTGTGAAAATGTCAAATGTGTTGCATAAAGGAGTTTCTTTCCCCTGAACAAGCAAATATACCAAAAAAACACTCTTGCTGAAATATCGATACAGCCGCCCACAATATCGATACTGTATCATCACATTAAACGATATATCCATATTTCAATATTTTTGCGCAGCCCTATTCAGGAGTCTTTTTGTTTTGAATTGAAGTAAAATCAACGTCAGTTACACAAAATCATGATTTGAAGTGTTACAGTTATCAATTATGATTTTTTTTCCTTACAAAGATTTAAGCAAGCATATATGGTTTGCAAAATGTAATGGAAAACCAACACATAACCCTGTAGTTATCTGTATGAGTATCTTGTCTAAGTTCAGAAGTTTCTGTTTCAATCATAGCATTGTTCCTTCAGAATTATTTTAGATATCAGTCAACCACCATTTTCAGCACCACCACACGATCACTGCACCACCACAGGCTCACTGCTCTGTATTTACTTCATTCTCCAATTGTATTTTCTTAATCAGTCATACACAGGATTTGGCAGTATCGTATAGTCATTTTGGTAGAATTGAGAAAAAAAATCTGTTGCTCGCTTTCATGACCTGAAGCCATATTTTGCAGTTGCTAACTCTTTTTTGTGATGAATATTGAGATTTAAAATGTGCAAATTATAACATAACTAGAAAAGCACTCAGAGAGCGCAGACCTCCACCAAGGACTACCCCCATTTTTTATATAAATTGCTATAAAATCAGTCGTCTGGATCAGATCCGGATCAGCCTTTGCAATATGAAAGAGGATCCCATTGTCCATCCCTGAGTCAAATTTCATGGGGTTTGGTCAATAATTAACCGAGATACTGAGAAACAAAATTTTTGGCCCCATTTACCACAATGTTAACTAAAATTTCAAAGTGATCCAGAATCCAGGATTTCTTCCAGATCACCCCCAAAATGAAATCAGATCTTCCTTTTCACATTTCCAACAAATCCTGAAAATTTCATCAAAATCGGTCCATAACTTTTTGAGTTATGTTGCTAACAGACAAAAAATCAAACAAACAAACAAACAAACAGACAAACGCCTCCAAAAACATAACCTCCTTGGTGGAGGTAATAATCCACAGGTATTATAGATTACAACTATTTAGCGGGCTCAAGCACAATAGGTGTTCTTTAAAATATTCACACTTAAAGGGACAGTCCGGAATTTTGGACCTAGGACTTTCTTAGTGAGCCAGAGTGTTGGAGACATGTGGAGACACTTTAAATTATTCCATCCACTCCTTATACTTGCAGAGGTCGCTAGTGCTAGGCTAGTGCATGTCAATGGCCATAGTTAGCCTGCCACTAAAAACAGTCTTACCCACTCCACAAAGCACCAGAAGCAAAACAATTATAATGCCAGGCTGTCGATGTAAATGTCTGTGTCGATAGAATCATTTTAGAAGTGAAACCAACCTTGCATTTGAAAGATTTTTGTCTGAGCAGCAGCAGTGAGTTGTACTTCCTGATAGAAAGCTTGGCAGCGACGGACTGATATCACCGAGCACCTCTTACCGGCAAAGTAAAATTCCGCTGCTGCTGAAAAAATAGTCCCTCAACATATGATGATTCATGAGATGCAAGGTTGGTTTGATTTCAAACATTATTCTATCAACACAGACATTCACATCAATAGTCTGGCATAATAATAGATTTGCTTCGGGTGCTTTGTGAAGTGGGTAAGACTGTTTTTAGTGGCAGGCTAACTCTGGCCATTGACATGCACTAGCCTAACACCAGTGACCTCTGCAAATACAAGGACTGAATGGAATATTTTAAAAAGTGTCTCCACACGTCTCCAACACTCTGGCTCACTAGGAAATTAAGTGCTATGTCCAAATTTCCAGACTGTCCTTTTAATTTAAGCCTGATTTCAGCACATAAATTGCAATACTAATCTCTATACAGAAAAATCACAAAAATATTCTCATCATTTCCTTTAAGTCTGTCGTGCCTGGTTTAGTCCTTACCAAGTCCTTAACGGTGGAGCCTATAGTTAAACTGAAATGCCTGCACGTACCCGTATCTTATAACAAGTTAACTCTCGACCAGACTGAAGCATCATAATCAGTGGGTGGCCAAACTAACATGTGCCTGAGGAGCTGCTACTACCACATCATTTGTCAACCCATATACTTCCATGAGTCAACCCACAGACGCACTCTCTCATTCAGCTCTCAGCAGGACTCCAGGGGGCGCTGTGATGAGGGCCTGGAGTGTAATTATGTCCTCACTGTGGAATAACACTCCCTGGATGCTGACTTGGCATTCCTACAGTGTCAGAAACTACATTAATATAATTGATTTGCTGGTTCATGTCATAGTTCTCTTGGTTTTTCACGTGGGAATTTGTCTAGCTGAAAATAAAGACAGGGTTTGTGTGGATGTTGGATATTTTTATGTAGTTATGAGTCTGGAAAGTCCTCTTTAGTGACTTCGGGTTATGTAAAATCTCCCTTGTTGGTTTTGGAATTTATTGTAGTATCATCATTACTTCCTCTTTAGATTAGGAACCACATATTAATAGTGAAGCAATACTAAAATGCATAATCACTTACACTGCATTACATCAGGCATGTCAAACTTAAATTCAGAGAGGGCCAAAATTAAAAACTGGGACTAAGTTGTAGCCCAAACTAAATATTTATTGAAAAAGTTCAACAACATCTGCATGTTTTCTCTTCTTTCAAGAACCCTTTCTCATTAAAATAAATGTTAAATAATAGTTTTGCTTAAACATTGAATCCAGAACAAGCATAATATAAAATAATAAAAAAAATTTAAATAAATAATGTCTCTATAGCCTATCTGTACCCGGTGGACCAGCTCCAATATTTGACATGATCTTGCGGGCCAAATATAATTATATCGCAAGCCAACTTTGGCCCCTGGGCCTGAGTTTGACGTGTCTGCATTACGTCTTCTTTAGTTTTAAGCCATTAACTATTTTCTTCACATTCAAGTAGTGGGGATTACAATAGATGTTTCTGTTCATACACTAGGCATTAGGGATGTAACAGTAACCGAAATATCGTCAAAGTTCTCACAATAATGTCGTGGACCATCACAATATATTGAATTACAAGTCCCTTTGCTTAAATTAAGAGTTATGGTGCAACAACAGCTAAAAAAAGCCCCCCAAAAACCCAGAGGGAACTACATAGATGATGATCCTTTGTTCCATTTCAACGTAGACTACACAAAGAAATAACAGTTGTAAGCACTTAGTTTTTTGGATTAAGTCTTGTCAAGGCATTTTAAGAGGAAAAGTAGCATATTAACAGTTTATTAACAGCCTCCACAAGATATCGCAATCAATATCGTACCTTGAGGTTCAAACCGTGACGATATTGTATCCTGAGACTTGGATGTCATCACACCCCTACTAGGCATTAGTAAGTGTTTGATAAATATTACCACGTAGTTAGAGATGAATATGTGGTCACTAGTCACTAAACTAAAGTGTCACAATTTAAACATATTTAAAGCCACAGTTTTGAGCCACATGTTATTTTTTCTTCCTCATTTTGGTTCCTCATTTTCCCTTGTGGATCAATAAAGTTTGTCTAAAGTCTAAACGCCTTTGGCTATAATATTCCACATGCAACCTCAAAGTTAAAGTTTTGAATTCTGTTTGTAAGAGTGGAGTACTGCCAAAGCCCTTTTATTTGTAGCCTAATTTGAAACTTCTGTACTATTTAATAATTTACTAAATAATTAAGCAACTCAATAGCTGTGCCTGATCCCGTGAACGCGTCCTGGAAGTGCTGAGTGGACGTGGACAGCTGTTCGGAATACAGATTACTGCACTCTAGCGGTGACATTTACGACGGTCCGTGAACTCATCGCTGCGGGAGTCAGTGAAGGAGGCGTGACGTCATGGCACGGTGCCACAGTCCTCCGTGTTCAGCAGAGAGAAGTTTGTGTTGCGTCGACCAACTCTTTTACGCGCCGCTCCGGAGGGCTACCACGACACTTTTCAACCAGAGCAATTAGAGATTATGTTGTATCAGTTTTATCAGTAATCATATTCTAGACAAATTGACGTTTATTTTCGTTATTCATTAAGCGGGTTGCTCATCCGCTTTTTCTTTATTCTATCCGGCTCGAAGTGGTTGATGCGTGGTTGCCAAAGCGTAATCGTCATGACTCTATAGTAGTTCTAATTTGATCTTTATCCTCTGACATTTTTCGCATGAAGTTGTCTCGTATGAACCGATGCGAAGTAGCGGAGAGGGGTCGGGGGCAGAGCCGGGCTTCACCATGAGGATGCCCAGGGGAGGACTCCTGTTCCTGGCCACGCTCCTCGGCTCGCTCTGTCTGCTCGTCCTCTACTTCCAGAGCGTCACCAAACCAGGTACGTCCGTTTGACCGTAGTTATTGCGCAGTTTGTGCCTCGTGCGTTTCGGTTTCACGCAGTGTCCAGAAAGAGGCAAAGTTGGCTGTAGTTGTGGATGCAGTTTTGGATGAAGAGTTGGAGTCTCTGTATTTTGTGTTCACTGGCAACGCGAAGGTTAAAATGATTGAAAGTGCCCAGTTACTTTTGATTGGCAAGCACTACAAAAATAGAGCGTGGTGGTCTATTTAAATCAGCTCAGATCATGCTTTGATTGAAAAGATAGTTATATTATGAAGGAATTATTAAACCTAATTGAGAATGACATATTTAAACCTTTTACTGAGTGGTAATTACATTGTTTCGCATAATAAACCGACTTATTACTGTAAAGTTTATGGTGTTCTCTTTAAGTTGTTAGACATTTCCCTCAATTAGACCTACAGCAATAACCTTATAGATTTCAGAGATTGCAAGCTGTGTATGTAGATGACATTTAGCATCTCAAAAAGCAGCTCTTGTGGCGTGCTCCCTGCAGTCCCCAGTACGCCATTTCCAAAGTAGGTCTTCCATAAATAACATAATAACACAAAACTTGCGTCTCATTATACTGTTGATTGCAATCTTGGCAGTTTGCATAAGTGTTTCCCTATTTACTTTTACCTCACCATCTTGCTAGACAAATGGCTCTGGCTCTCATTCACCCTTTCAGCTGTTACAAATTAGGCTTATGTTGAAGTTGCAGTCTTTTCTAAAGCTACATGCAGTAATGCTCAGACACATGCTGGGTGTTTAAAAAGACTCTTAAGACAGATTTTCCGCTGTGGCTAATACAAACAATTATCTTAGTTTAACAACCATGCAGCATGGGCCTTTAAAACTATAATTATGCCAGACTGCGTGTTAGGGTTAGTGACCTGGACACCTGTATGGCCCTATGCCCTTTGTGAAATGCTAGAAACATAATGAAAAGTGAATGAAATGTAGTATGAATGCGCTCACTGTGGCCTGGAATGTTTTCAGAAGCCCCCTCCTTTTCCCCCTCCTCCTCCTCTCCTCCTCCTCCTCCTCCTCCTCCTCTCCTATATAGACCCCCTGCATTCCTCTGGGCTCCCGCTCCTCACCTCTCTCCCCCCCCTCCCTCACTTTCTCCTGTCCCTTTGTTTGGGAGCTGGAGTTTGGACGCTGAAAGACAGATTGGTCCTCGGAGAGAACCCAATTCAGGAGGGAGTGGAGCAGGGTGATTGATTTGTACTCGGTGGGAATGTTAAAAGAAGCAAAACATAAGCAAAGGAAGCCATAATGTTCTTGTGGATTACAGTAGCAGAGTGGTTTTTAAAACGTCCCCTGTTGTGTGATTTTGTGAGCAATATACAGTGTGCAAGAATTTTCCTGTGTTGATGTTTTTGACAACAGTACCTCTTGCTGTTTTGCCTCTCTGTGTCATGTTTTTGTGCAGAATAGGATTGTCAAAACTATAGAAAATCTGTTACTAATCTGTACTAAAACTGTTATAGAAACAACATACTGATTTGAGCAGGTATTGATACTTAAAATCACATTCACAGCAGAAATATGAACCTTTCCTGAATGATCACAGCTGTATGAGGTCAAGTATAAGAGCACATAGACAATTTTACCCCCATGGACCACTGTGGAACCTACCTGGACCACTGAGGGATTACACAGATATAAAACCACATGGTAATATAAAGGAAAGTACTATTATTTAATCTTGAAAATGACATTCTTTGGTCTAAATAAAGTGTGTCTTTTTATCATTGTGGTATCAGAATCAGTATCAGGTCTGTTCCTTATTATCAAAATTGAGTTTGAACTTTTAGTATCCTGAAAACACTACTTGGTATCCATAACTGTGACAGAAAAAGGACTTTTCTATTACTTCAGTTCAGGAAATTATAATAAGCATGTTTATTATCTTATGCAGACTTAAAATGCAAAGTTTGTGTCAAATAAACTAATAACACAAGATTTCATGCAATTAACACTATCAGAATCTGATATTATCTCTAGCATGTGGTTTGGCTTCAGCTGCAATATCTTTAGCGGAACTTATTGACGTTTCTAGAAGAACTGTAGCACATTGCCATTATTTATAGTATTGCTCATATAGAGTGTAACTTTTAAAGGTCCAATATTATGCAAAATTGACTCTTGAGCTTTAAGCCAGATTAGAATGTTGGAATGAACTTGTGTTTTGTTTCATTCACACATGTTTGAGTAAGCCTTTATAATTAGTTTGTCTACATCTCCACAGCTCAAAATGTTCTGTACTTTTCAAGTTGACGGCTACATTTTGTTCAACCGAGATTGGCTATTCCAAGGCTGAAATCATCCAAATGATTCTCGTGAAGGCGTATGGAGTTTAAAAACACGGTGACCACATGGCTTTACAAGGTGGAAGTGTTTTCTGTGTGAGAGGTATGTTTTTGATGAGGAAACAACATTATAACAGATCTGAAAATAGCATGTGGGCCTTTAAGCAATCATCATTCATGGTTACACCCTCATTGCTGTATGGCTATATTTAAAATGCAAAGTAGATCATGACAAAGGATTCCTCTAAAACCATTTGTATTTCTGATGTGGGCATGTAATATGATGGGCTGATGATTGGTGAGATATTCTAGCAACAAAGCACTATCTAAATTGCATCATGAAACCAATACTTGCCACAAACAAAAACCACATGTTCTTTTGATTTTAATATAAGACTTTAAAGTTCGTCACACTTTTGCAACACCTGCTATATACACACCCAATGGAGAAATAGTTACAGTAAATTATGCCTGTCACAGTAATTACTATAGTGACTTATTGTTCAAGTATTGTGGGAAATTTGTTATTTTGTGGCTACATGATAAGATCTGAGCCGTAAAAGGTTGATTTTACAACTTCTGTGACTCATAGATGCAGATACTCCTTAAAGCACTATGTAACTTTTCGGTCAGGGGCTTGTCACTTTCTTGTTTCTATGGAAATGTCATTGATCATCAGATCGACATTACATTTATTAATTGACAGGTGGTTTTATAGCTCAAAAAAACATAGAAAAACAGGCATTCTGACGCAAATTTAGCTCTCCACAGATATGACTATTAACTTGTCCTTGTTTAGTCTCTATTATGCTAGAAAAGTTTAATGACATACTGCGGTAGCCAGGCTGGTGCCACCTAGTGCCTCCGCTTAATTTCATTTCTCTCTAGCGTCTAGGTCAGGAATTGGAATACACTAGATGGTTCGCAAAAACCCCGGAAGTGCGAGTCCATGCACCAGCCAATCAGTGAAGAGCCATACATTCTGTGTTGCCAACGATCAAGGATTTAAAGTCGAAACAAAGAGAATGTTTAGTGAATTTTATCAAGGGGAAAGACGTTATTGCCTTTCTTCCTACGGGATTTGGGGAAAGCTTAATATACCATTTAGCCCCTTTAGCGGTGCATTACATACGTCACGACCAAATAGCAGCGATTGGTTAAAAAAAAAAAAGTACCCGCCTACTGTCAAGCGAACGAATCATAATGCTGCGAGTTCAGACGGTTTCCACGAAGTGAAACCAACAATGCACAATACACAATGCAACTTTAAAGTGTTTGATTCGGCTATTTATGGAGCTCAAGTCTTTTTGTTTACAGTATTGTTGATTTAGAATAGTTTTTTTTTTTTTTTTTTTTAAATCTGCTCTTGGGTTATTGCGTTAGTGGCGTAACATTATCATCTATATTTACTTCAGCAACATATCGTGCTTAAATCTCATAGTTCTAACTAGGAATGTAACGTTATCTAATATGTCGTTAAGATATTTTCACGATATATGTGTAGGTTAACAGAAGTCTGAATATGCTACTTTTCTGTCATAATGCAAATAATTAAGATGTAAAAATATTTAATAACAGTTTTTTTCATTATGCAGATTGGACTGAAAGAGAGCAAAGGATCATGGTCTGTGTAGTTCTGTCTGTTTTTTTGTTAGCTGTTGTTTGACCATAGCAATACATTTAAGCAAAGAAACTTCTAATTCAATATATTGTTATGGTCCACAATATTACTTTTTGATGATATCACGATCTTGTTACATCCCTAGTTCTGACCCTCTCTCTGGCTTTCCACACACTCTGAACACACTTGGCTCGTCCCCCTGACCTTCACTCCACCCTGCAGTTTAATAGCCCTGGCCTCCCGCTGCCTGTCTTGTCTTGCCTGTTGGCCTCTGTTACAGTTTTACCAGCAGCAGCCAGCAGACCACATGAAAAGATCAGCAGTGCCACATTAAAGACAGCTAATTCACAGGATGCCAACAAAGCATCAGGCTCGTGTAACTGCCAACTAACTGGTCAAAGGGCTTCTTCCAGTCATACACTTATTTATTTGATTATATTATTATCACCTTTGAAAACCAGCCAGGTGTTATTACTGCTGGTCAACAAGAAAACCACAGTGGATATTGGTATTCTGTGCTGTCAAGTTTTGTTTTACATAGTCACAGCTTGAACCAATGCATGAACAATAGCTGCAAGCCTCTAACTCAGTGTTAATTTGGCCAAAACTAGCAATTCCTTTTGCCAGACAGGAGCATCTGTTCACCTGCTTTACATGTTTGGAATCAGATAAACAAATTCTAAGTTTAAAACTGAAGACAGACTGAACTCCTATGAAGAGTATTTAAAAAAATCATGAATCCTCTCTCCATTATTTTATTGTGTACATGTTGTCAAATATATTCACCAGTAAAGAGTTCCTGGTACAGTTTTCAGAGCAGAGCATGACAGTATGAGCAGTGTTTGTCAGTGAGGTCTTATTTACTTTTCCAAAGATGTCTAATTTATGGTCTCAGTTGGACTGATCTAATGCTCAGGCTGAGAGAGGCCCACAGGCACAGGCAGGGCTCTGTGTGTCACATGGAACCAACAGAACGATGGCTTTCATATCTGCACATCTGTGGCAAATCCTCTCAATATCAGACCCTGTCCTCCACTGTGAAGAATGCCGTGTGAAAAGAG